GATGGTAAAGGAAACAAACATAAGAAACATAGGAAAAGAAGAAAGGGGGAAGAAAGTGAAGGCTTTCTAAACCCTGAGTTATTAGAAACTTCTAGGAAATCGAGAGAACCTACAAGTGGTGAAGAAAATAAAACAGATTCATTGTTTGTTCTCCCAAGTCGAGATGATGCTACACCTGTTAGAGATGAGCCAATGGATGCAGAATCTATCACTTTTAAATCAGTGTCTGAAAAAGATAAGAGGGAGAAAGACAAACCAAAAGCAAAAGGTGATAAGACCAAACGGAAAAATGATGGTTCTACTGTGTCCAAAAAAGAAAACGTTGCAAAACCTGCTAAGGGACCTCAAGAAAAACTAGATGGAGAGCGTGAAAAATCTCCTCGATCTGAACCTCCACTTAAAAAAGCCAAAGAGGAGACTCCAAAGACTGACAGTGCTAAATCATCATCTTCCTCCCAAAAAGATGAAAAGATCATTGGTACCCCCAGGAAAGCTCACTCTAAGTCGGCAAAAGAACACCAAGAGACAAAACCAGTCAAAGAGGAAAAAGTGAAGAAGGATTACTCCAAAGATGTCAAATCAGAAAAGCTAACTAATAAGGAAGACAAGGCCAAGAAGCCTAGTGAGAAAAGTAAGCCACCTGACAGCAAGGGAGAAAAAAGAAAAAGAAAAACTGAAGAAAAGGGTTTAGATAAAGATTTTGAATCCTCTTCAATGAAAATCTCTAAACTAGAAGTAACCGAAATAGTGAAACCATCACCAAAGCGGAAAATGGAACCAGATATTGAAAAGATGGATAGGACCCCTGAGAAAGACAAAACTTCATCATCAGCTGCCCCAGCCAAAAAAATCAAGCTCAACAGAGAAACGGGTAAAAAAATTGGAAGTACAGAAAATGTATCTAATACAAAAGAAACCACTGAAAAATTGGAATCAACATCTAGCAAAGTTAAACAAGAAAAAGTCAAAGGAAAGGTCAGACGAAAAGTAGCTGGAGCTGAAGGATCCAGCTCAACGCTTGTGGATTATACCAGGTAACTGATTATGGGTGGTTGGGTGTGGATGTTTGTTTGGGGAAAGAATTCCTTTAATTTTATCAGTGCTTGTAATTCTAAAGTGTAGTATGTTAATTAAGAAGGGATTAGGCTGGTTTATTCATGTCTTTAAAGAAAGGAGTTGAAGGTTGTAAGTAGATTTTGTGGGTGAGCCTTTTTTTTTAACACAATCCTACATTTAAATCATTTAATCTCAGAGTAGGGCCATTGGCTTTTGAGAGTTATAAGGACGTTTATGTTTAAGTTAGCCTTTTTTATATTTATCAGTGTTGAGTAGTAGTAAATTCTTCATTAAATTCATCATAAATTAACTATTTTAATTTTTTTTTTAGTACGAGCTCAACTGGAGGCAGTCCTGTGCGGAAATCTGAAGAAAAAACAGATACAAAACGAACTGTCATTAAAACTATGGAAGAGTATAATAATGACAATACAGTTCCTGCTGAAGATGTTATTATTATGATTCAGGTTCCTCAGTCCAAATGGGATAAAGATGACTTTGAATCTGAAGAAGAAGATGTTAAGACCACACAGCCTATATCAAGTGTAGGAAAACCTGCCAGTGTTATTAAAAATGTTAGCACTAAACCCTTAAATACAGTCAAGTATACTGAAAAAGAAAGCGAGTCATCAGAGAAAATTCAGAAACTCACCAAGGAAGTGAGCCATGAACTTACACAACATGAGATCAAAAGTTCAAAGAACTCTGCATCCAGTGAAAAGGGGAAGACCAAAGATCGAGATCATTCAGTGTTGGAGAAGGAAAACCCTGAGAAGAGGAAGAACAGCGCTCAGCCGGAGAAAGATAGTAACTTGGACCGTCTGAATGAACAAGGAAATTTTAAAAGTCTGTCTCAATCTTCCAAAGAGACGAGAACTTCAGATAAGCATGATTCTGTTCGAGGTTCTTCAACTAAAGACTTTACCCCCAACAGAGACAAAAAAACTGACTATGACAACAGAGAATACTCAAGTTCCAAACGTAGAGATGAAAGGAATGAATTAACAAGAAGGAAAGACTCTCCTTCTCGAAGTAAAGATTCTGCATCTGGACAGAAAACTAAGCCACGAGAGGAGAGAGATTTGCCCAAGAAGGGAACAGGAGATTCCAAAAAGAGCAATTCCAGTCCCTCAAGAGACAAAAAACCTCATGATCACAAAGCCACTTATGATACTAAACGCCCAAGTGAAGAGACAAAACCTGTAGATAAAAATCCTTGTAAAGATCGTGAGAAGCACATGTTAGAAGCAAGGAACAATAAAGAGTCAAGTGGCAATAAATTACCGTATGTGCTTAACCCACCAGACCCACAGACTGAAAAAGAGCAAGTTCCTGGGCAGACTGACAAGAATGCGGTGAAGCCGAAACCGCAGTTAAGTCACTCCTCCCGACTTTCCTCCGACTTAACTAGAGAAACTGATGAAGCTGCTTTTGAACCAGACTATAATGAAAGTGACAGTGAAAGCAATGTGTCTGTAAAAGAGGAGGAAACTTCAGGAAAAGTTTCTAAGGAACTGAAAGATAAAGTCGTGGAGAAAGCAAAAGACAGCCTGGACCCAGCAGCAGGCGGCCAGGTAGGCACAGCCAGGAGCCAGAGTCAAAGCAGCCCTAGTGTTAGTCCAAGTAGAAGTCATAGCCCTTCTGGAAGCCAGACCCGAAGCCACAGCAGTAGTGCCAGCTCTGCAGAGAGTCAGGACAGCAAGAAAAAGAAGAAGAAGAAGGAAAAGAAAAAGCACAAGAAACATAAAAAACATAAGAAGCATAAGAAGCATGCGGGCGCCGAAGTAGAATTGGAAAAAAGCCAAAAACACAAACACAAGAAAAAGAAGTCAAAGAAGAGCAAAGATAAAGAAAAGGAGAAGGAGAAAGATGACCAAAAAGTGAAATCTGTCCCGGTATAAAAGGACAGATTTTTAAAAATTGACTTAATTACTAAGTCATCTGTATTAAATTTTGTTATAATGTAAAGAGATTCAAGCCTTGTAAATAATGATATGGAAGACCCTGTGCTGCACTTAAAATATTGCTGCTTGATTATTTGATTTTTACATCAGAGCTTTATAACACGAACTTTTGTACAGAATTGTGAGTTGTGACCATGTAACATGAGAGGTTTTGCTAGGGCCTATTATTTTTAACCACCATTAATTAGTTGGGGTGGAGTTTACTGTACTGTGAAATTTTCACATTTGAATTTTTTTAATTGCCTGGCAAAAGCTGGTATCAGTTCTAAAATATCAGCAGAATGATTTGCTGAATTCATTACAACCCCGTTATGTCACTTTTTGATTACAATAAAAGTTTTCAGTAAACTTTTCAAATGTCGAATATCTGTGTTATTTGAAGGAAGTGTGTCATGTCTCTTCCCCCTTCCATTTCCTCATTTAAAATAGCCTTTGAGCCTGTAGTATAAGCTGCACCAAATATGCAAAATTACGAAGTAAACGTGGTAGGTAGACTTCATCAGTGGGCTGGTAGTAGGTGGCCAGAAATAAGAAATCAGGATTAATTGGAGAGCTAGTTGAAGAAAAATCTAAAAGGGTCTTATAGTAATTAGAAGTTTGGACTTGAATTTTAGCGATGAGGAATTGTGATTTGTTTATGGTTCTTTTTCTTGAAACCCTGATAAGTGTTAAATTCCTCGATAAAGTGCCAGCTAAAGCACAGTCATGAGCGTCTGTGGCCTGCCTGGTCTGCCCCATTGACAAGAGCAAGCAGGAGGAGGTCCAGGAGCACTGGTTTAGACTATAATGGGCTCTTTGGGGCTGTGGTTCAGGAAGTTATCGTAGGCAATGAAAAGCTATTGAAAGGGTTTGGGGAGTTAGGGTAAGAATGGTACCTCAGAAACACGGCAGTATGAACAGGGATCAAGATGACAGCGGCTGGAAGGAGGAAAAGAGACCAGCTCCAGTCTGAGGGTGGTCCTAGGGTTCCCCAGGACTGTTAATAGTGGGAGAGGAAAGGAACTAAATTAGCAGCAACTTGCTTCTATGAACCTCCTGTTTCTGTGCCTTTTAAAGGATTTCCAGGCTGGGCCGTGTGGACAGTGTGCAAAAATACTTCAGAGTGTGTTTTTAATGTAACTTCTAATGTTTAAAGAAAAATGATTTAAAGAGATTAATGTGGGTGTCACAAATGCTGTTGACCTCATGAAAGCCATTCAGGACTGAGTTAAGTTTGTTACATGTTTGTCAAAAGTTAAGTGTGTTAAAATAAGTTAAATGAAACCAACTTTCTTTTAAAGGGCTGTCACTGCGGATGAAGGTGTCTGTTGTGCCCCCTTGAAGCCCCACCACACCCCACCCCTCACAACACATAACGACCACTTCTACTCTGAGGTACTCCAGCTAGACTACCCTCTTCATTCGTACTTATCAGGACCCCAGATCTAGATCGTATCTCCCACATTCACTGAGGATTTTAGCACCCGGGACTCTTTATCATAAACTTCATCATGTGAGGTCAGTTTCCTTACCTAGGTAGGCTCCTGGCCTTTCATTTTAATCTCAACTGATGTTCCCTTTAACAGCCATCCACTCCTAGGACAGTTTTCCAGAATTCATCATCTGTGGCTATTGGTTTAAGTTTAAACCAATCTTTTCCTCCATCCTCTACTGGCCTTAGGCCTAAGGTTCTTTTTTTTTTTTTTTT